TGGCTGCTTGCTCTGATCTTCATCTTCTGTGTGTTGCTTCGTGGATAACAGGATTATTTTTAAAGGTTATGAATGAGCCTGCAAAAAGTGTTTGACAACTTTACTGTTACAGCTCAGCTGCTTCAGATTCACTAGTCAGTACTTCTTAAATGTTTGGTCTTACTAATGGCAGAGAAATGCACTTTAACCACAAGGGTATGTTCCAAGTTTAATGAAACAACATTTTTAATACGGAGATCAAATCATTAGCACTGCTCTGGTGTCATTAGAATGGCATTTCATTTAAATGTGGCTTTGTGAAGTTAAATTGACTGACATGGGGCATGTTTGAAGTGGGTTTTTGACGAATTGCTTAATGGTTAGGACATGAAATTGGGGTTTTTCCTGGCACGAAATGGCCATTTGGGGTGATGTAATCATACACAAATGCGCAACTGATCTTTGTTACCTTACTCAACAGAAGGTCATCATGTTGTTTGTGGTCATTCTGCTGATTTACCTTTCGTGGAAGGTCTTGTTTTTGATTAGCCTTGATGATCTTTTTTTTCTTTTTCTTTTTGTGTTCACTACAAAAAGCTCGTGAACATAGGGTGAGGGTAGGGATGCAGATTGACCGGTAAATTGAGAACTTCACTTTTATGCTCAGCTCTCTTTTTTACCATGTGGACTGGTAGCATCTGCATCGCTGCAGCTGCAGCACCATTTGTTCTGTCAATCTCCCGCTCCCTTCACCCCCTCACTAGTGAACAAGATCAGAGATACTTGAGCTAAAACCTTTGATTGTATCTACATGCCATATTGAAATTCAAACTTCTTAAAAATAAACCAGCCTACAGCTTTTTTTTTTTTTTGTAATTGACAGATACAGTGAAGAAATGACAGGAAAGCAGAGGGAGAGAGAGACGGGGGAAGACATGCGGCAAGGGGCCGCGGCCCGCGGGTCAAACCTGGGCTGGCTGCTCTCAGCCGTACGGCACATGATCGCCTGCTCAATGCACCGAGCTAAACTGGCGCCCGGGTATCAGACTAAGTTAACAGTTTATCCGCATATTTTGATACAACTTCTGGAGGCTTGCTGCAGATTCTTTACGGTGTAAAACAAATGGCGGTGGATGGAGCACATATAAAGTTTACTCTTCTTCACGTTGGAGTTTGTTGATCGGGTGGTTTGATGAAGGACTCCTGCTAGCTTTTTTTTCCCCGGCAAAGGTTTTAAAGGTGATCACAGGAACAGCGCTCCTGTTTTGGACACTAGATACACGTTTTTGGGTTGTTTTTTTTCTTCTCACTCAGCCTGAGCTCACTGTCTCGGTAATGGCTCCGCCTCTTTGCTCTTCACTGTGTGTAAACAGACTCTGGCGCAGTGTTAAAACTCTGATAACATAACACAAAAGTGATGACGTTGCCAATGTTTTTTTGTTTTGTTTGGGGTTTTGTGTGTGTGTGAGTTTTTTTTTTTTTTTTTTTTTTTTTTTTTTTTAATATAAATACTAGGGACTGTTTGACTCTGTATTCAATCGTTGCCCTTAAAGACGTTTGTATTGCAGGTCTGGGTGTAATGCTCACATTTACATCATTTGACACGTCAGCACACTACAGAGCCATGTGTTAATCGAAGCAAAGAATTTGTATCAGGAATTTTTTTTATAATCGAATTATTCGAAATACTCGATGAATCGTTGCAGCGCTACAAGGAACAGTTTAAATATAATTACACAGTTTTGGCTGAGCTTGTTTTGAGGTTCATCAGCAGCAGGTATAGCCATCTCAAATGTTTAATATTGTCAGAGAAATCCAGTGTGAAAAGGGCTGCCCTGCATTGGTTCGCTCTTTTTGGTATGTAAAAGGGAAGTGTTTATCTCTGAGCCGTTGTACACCTGACAGCCATTAAATCAGTACCATTAGAGAGAGCTCTGTTTACCTGCAGCTTGAATATAATTGTCACTCAGACTGTTGGAGGTAGTTGTTTCCATAAAGTATATTACTCTGTTCATTAGCCTGTGTAGAAATGTACTGGGTGGGAATGAGACTCCTCATTAGAAGGCTTATACAGTTTGTGTCAGGAGCTGCTTTGGCATCAAGCAGCACATGTACGAGCGGGGGTGTGATTGATTCTGTCGCCGATACAAACAAACCTGATTCCAAACTCCATCGCAAGCAGTCTTGTGTAAGTGTGCAGTGGACTGAATTGCAGATTAACATGGCATCACATCCACACCCTGCAGCTGGTGTGTCAGTGGACAAATATTTTGGTCTGAATCATTTCACACTGCCTGTGAGACTCCCAGATACTTTTTCCCCTCTTCCTGTGGCTGTCATTTACATCACACTCCTACCTTTTCTAGCATTAAAGCTGTGTCGGCGACTGTTTTATGTGATGTGGCTCCGACAGTTTGTCAGGAAAATTAGTTGGACTTGTTCAAGTCTTTATCATGACTGTGTGGTAAGTGTGAAAACACATGGCTGAACACACACTAGACAAACCTACTGAATTCTTAACATCCCATCAGCAAAGGCTCTCTGTGACAGAAACTGAGTTTTTTGTTTTAAAAAAATTTTATTTTAAAAAAGACGCTAACCAGGATGGTCAAAAAATACAAAATTTTTGGTCATAATTACTCAAGCTTTTTGTTTATCACATGGGCAAAAATAACAGGAAAACTGTTAGCACAGATTCTTTGTCTTAATTATATGCTTACTAATTGTTCCTGAACATTTTCATATCCCATGGACTTGTTTTGAGCCTGTTTACATATAATCAGGATTCCTGCTAGTCATTAAAGTCTTACCTGGAAGATAAAAGTTAAAAATTAGGTTTTCAAAAGCCCTTTTTTTTTTTTCTCACAAGATTGCTGTAAGTATTAAATTTGCAGATGCTCAACAATTTGATCCATTTGTTATCATGCATATCTATCATCTCTTACTATCTAGAACAACATGCTAACCTAATGGCATAATTACAGATGTCTTTTACTGGCTTGTTACCAGTTTGACACCACAGGCTAAGTGTAGATGTTGTCGCTACCGCTTTAATTGTGGCTCACTTTGTTGGCCATTAATTGTGGCTCACTTTGTTGGCCATAAAAGTTACTCCCTATGCCTTAATTCAGCTTTAAGGGTACCTTTATAAAACAAATCCGGTTACCCGTACGGATCAGGAAGCCAAGTGTGCAGTGTTTGACATAACTGACCATGACCTGATAGGCTGAGGACAGTTTAAACAAAGTGGGTGGGGCAAGTTAAGTCACCTGCTGGCCTGTTCGGACCACTGACAGTTTTCACCGACCACTACTACGGTACTTATGAGTTGGTCTGTGAAGTAAACCGGTTTAAGCAACACTCACTAATTAATATCAATGTTTTTTTTGTTTTGTTTTCTTCCTCTTCTTGCCCTCGGTAACATGTTGTTATGTGCTGAACAGAACATTTCATAGTGGTGTGGAAAATGCAGCAGGAAGGTGACTGCTGCAGGACCCCACAGTGCAAGCATTTCACACATTTTCTGCTAAGAACAGATTAGGGTTTAATAAAAAGTGCAAAATTAAGCACAATTATTACAATTTTTTTTTCTCCACACAACAAGGTTGAAGTTGAAAAAAGCATCAGAGATGTCATAGTTTCTGGTTAAGCTAGCTAATCCTCTTTGATACAGTAAGCAGCAAAGACAGTGGTGCCACTTAGACGTTGAACACTGGTGGAGTGAAAGAAAATGTTTTCTTGGAAACATTTGTGGGGAAAGAAGCAAGAGCACTTTATCATTATGCCTGTTTAGTGAGATTAAAGGTGAAGAAAAGCTGTCTTGTGGGCTCCTCCCATCCACTGGAGGTTTGCTTTATGTTATGACAAAGCTAAAGAATAAAGAACAAGTTTTAAAAGGTGTGTGCAGATGAGCAGCTTGTTTCGTTTTCCACCATGGTTAATTTTGGCACATTTTTCAGTTTAACTTTGCTACAGGCTGCAACATGAAGCAATGTGTCTACTCGTATATTAAAAACGTAAAACACACTGATGTGGAAGGTCATCACAGGCCAGGCTTGTCATGCATGCACTGGTGGAAGCTCTGAGCAGTAATTGTTAAAGCCACAAACCATAGTCACGTCTTCAAATTCCTTGTTTTGTCTTAAAATTAGTCCAAAGTTCACTGCAGTCATTTGTTTATAAAGAAAACCATGTAGCACAGTTTCAGGGATTAACACATGGCTGGTTAGTTTATAGTCGTTCTTTTAAACCTGGAATATAATTTGTTGTTGTTGTTGTTTTGTTTAATACTTTTTGTTAAGATGCATCTGATTTTTTTTTAATTTGGTGTGTGTGTGTGTGTGTGTGTGTTAACCTGGTAGAGGGCCCTTGATTATGTTTATGATACAGCCTGTGTCGTTGCTTTTTTTTTTTTTTTTTTTTTTTTGAGACATTGGTTTTACAGCCAGTAGCGTGCCAATCGTTGCTTCTTCACTGTGCATATTTACAGTCCTAATGAAGTGTTTGCTATCTCTTTGCTGCAGCCACATTAGCGAGAAGGGGAAGTGGGTTTCACGTCCTCTAGCTTTGGTTTGAACTGCAGCCTAAGCAGAAACACATGCTTTTCGAGGTTGTGCATATCTAGCAATTTTCCACTGATCAGGTTTTCTCAGACGCTGCCTCTCGTTGCATACTTCACAAGCTCATGTTGTGGTGTTATGTTTTGGTAAGCATTTAAAAGTGTGTCTTGTGTTAGTACCGTGTTATTTCCAAAATCTGTAGTGTATTATTACCTCCAAATGATGTGTCTACCTGCTAAAGTGTCTGTTGGACTGGTCTGCTAACAGAATTTGTCAGCAGTTGGTTGGTGGGAGGTGTTAATTTTCCAATCTGGTGGTCTGGTTCAAAATCTGAGGATCACGTTTTGATTGTTTTACGTCAGTCTTCATTCAGTCTTATTTACAGATCTCTTCTATTTGCGGTGTTGCTGAATCTCTTAAATTTCTCATCCCTGTGTGTTGTTTTTTTTACCCCCTCTTTAGTCAAAGGATCTCGGCCAGGGAAGAACGTCCAGCTGACCGAGAATGAGATCCGTGGCCTCTGCCTCAAATCTCGTGAAATCTTCCTGAGCCAACCGATCCTGCTTGAACTGGAGGCTCCCCTGAAAATCTGTGGTGAGTTTTAATTAACCAAAGGGGTTGGTGAGTTTCACGGGACAAAGAGATGATGTGGGTCTCAGAGGATGCACTTCAGGCGCACTCTGGCGCAGGAGAAAACGGTCATTATGAGAGGGTTTTCTCCTTGTTTGCTTGTCTGTAATTAACACTTTTATCACCTGATAAGCGTGGGCTGTTCTGGCAGAAGCAGTGAAAGCATGTTGTTTTTAAATTGCACATCTCTGCTGCCCCCTGCAGGTGATGTCCATGGTCAGTACTATGATCTGCTCCGGCTCTTTGAATATGGAGGGTTCCCCCCAGAAAGCAACTACCTGTTCCTGGGTGACTACGTCGACAGAGGAAAGCAGTCACTGGAGACCATCTGCCTGCTTCTAGCCTATAAGATTAAATACCCAGAGAACTTTTTCCTGCTGCGTGGCAACCATGAATGCGCCTCTATTAATCGAATCTATGGCTTTTATGATGAGTGTAAGTACAAAAGAGGCTTCTAAAAGGAAACCAAGGCAAATTTGCAACTTTAAATCTTGCATTAATTTTTTTTTTTTTTTTTTTTTTTTTTGGGCGGGTGGGGGGGGTAGGTAAGCGACGGTATAACATTAAATTGTGGAAGACCTTCACAGACTGCTTCAATTGTTTACCTGTGGCTGCCATTGTAGATGAGAAAATCTTCTGCTGTCATGGAGGTGGGCCTTGTTAATACGTGACTTTACGAAGCCTAAACCATTTGATCCAAGAAGCAAATGTTGGCACATATTTATGTATTTTTCAAAAATGTTTCCTCTCTCAGGCCTCTCTCCTGATCTCCAGTCAATGGAGCAGATCCGCAGAGTTATGCGACCCACAGACGTGCCTGACCAGGGTTTGTTGTGCGACCTGCTGTGGGCTGACCCAGACAAAGATGTGCTCGGCTGGGGTGAAAACGACCGTGGAGTCTCCTTCACATTCGGTGCAGATGTGGTGGCCAAATTTTTGCACAAACATGACATGGACCTAATATGCAGGGCGCATCAGGTAATGTTTACTAAATTCATCTTTGTATAGTACATTTCAGACTCATTGACTGAAGAAGTGTTCCCTTAATTCTTATTATAACTATGTAAAGCACTTTGTGCTACATTTTTTCTGTATGAAAAGTGCTTTATAAATAAAGATTGATTGATTGATTAATCACGATGCATTGTGTGGCTGTGTTTTAATAGGACTAATCAGAGGCATTTGTAGTGTTTTTCTTAAAAAAATTTTTAAATGTCTTCAGAAAACGGGACGTTAGATTATGAAGATGCATTAGCTAACTTCAAAGCTGTGACAAAAACATCTAAAACACAAACAAAAATAAGCCCCAGACCAAACAAACACTGGTGGAAATACTTATAAAGAAAACTGTGAGGGTGTTTCAATGTAGGTATGATATATTCTATTTTTTAACAATGCCTGAGTGACATAACATTAAACTATAGATCTGATTCTTGAATGGCACTAGCCTCTATTTTTTGTTTAAATTTTTTTAAATATGTAACATTGATGGTTTCCTTTTGGTCTTCAGGTGGTTGAAGATGGTTACGAGTTTTTTGCAAAGAGGCAGCTCGTCACTCTGTTCTCCGCTCCCAACTACTGTGGAGAGTTTGACAACGCTGGTGCCATGATGAGTGTGGATGAGACGCTCATGTGCTCCTTCCAGGTGTGGAGAACAGAACTAATAACTTTTCGGGAAACAAATTTGTTTCGTTTAGTAGTTTCACACTAAAATGATACAATATATGGCTCGCATATCGATTCATGTAGTGATGGTAGAATTTTAATTGTAATTAACTATAAAATTAGAGTTCACTGTGTGTGTCTGTCGATCTAATTGATTACTTCTTTGTCCATCTCACAGATTCTGAAGCCAGCAGATAAGAAATTATATCCTTACGGTGCTGGGGGAGGAATGGGATCAGGGAGGCCGGTCACCCCTCCGCGAAATTCAGCCAAGGCCACCAAGGCCAAGAAATAACACCCACTGGGTCCACTTCCCACAACCTGCCACCCCCTGTTGGCCCAATGCTTCTTTTTTGTTGTTGTTTTATTTCTCCTCCTCTACCTCCCAAACCTTTTGTCTCCCTTGTCACCAAACGGCAACAAAGAAACCAAGTGTCCAGGGTTCAATCATGTTTTTCTCACTAAAACTATTTTTAACTGTTTGTTTGGTTGACTGGTTGAATTTTGCGTGAATGAGTGTGTTTAAAAAAAAAAAAAAAAAAAAGTGAATGATGCAGAGGGAGCTTCTGTGTTCTGTACGTATGTTTTCTGCCTCCTCCTGTGTCCTGCGTTTGGTTTTCCTGTCATTTTGTAGAGGTGGGCTCTGCCCATCCTTCATATAAGCTCAAACCTTGCAGAGGAGGAGTAAAAAAGGGGTGGGGGG